ATAACCAAGGCTATCACAGAGGTGGTGGTTCATGTAGAGGAAGAAGTGATGGAAGGAAACCTAATAAAATTCATATTCAGTGCTACAATTGTTCAAAGTATAGCCATTATACAAGTCAATGTCGAGGAGTCAAGAAAGTGATGAAAAGCTTGCAGAAGGAGAAGTGATGTTAATGGTCACAACAAAAGAAGAAGATGGTTTCAAAGATCTATTAGATCTCGACTCGGGTTGTTCATCGCACATGATTGGAAGAAAAGATTAGTTTATCAACACGACTCCCACATCGAAGAATAAGGTAAAATTTGCAAACGATAATACCCTGTCTACTTAAGGTATTGGTGATGTTCTGATCAGGAGAAAGGGTGGTAAACAATTAGTAATTTCCAATATGTTATACATATTTGGCATGAAGAGTAATATTTTACGCATATGTCAGCTGATCGAGAGGAATTACAAAGTATTGATCAAAGATAGAATGATGAGAGTGATCGACTCGAGAAATAGGTTAATCTTAAAGGCTCATATGTCTCAGAATAGAATCTTGAGGATTGAACTTGATGTATTGGAATACAAGTGCCCGATGACTGTGTCTAGAAAATATGAATGGTTATGGCATTACACACTTGGTCACTTGAATTTTAATGACATTAGTAATCTAAAGAGGAAGAACATGGTTCCAGGCCTACCATAAATCCATATTCCATAAGATGTATGTGAAGAATGTGTTCAAGTAAATCAACACAAGAATAACTTCAGCAAGGATGCAAGAAGCAAGTCAAAAGCCACTCTCGAGATAATCTGCTCAGGCGTGTGTATTCTTCTCCAAGTAGATTCATTTGGTGGTAATGATTACTTTGTTATATTTATTGATGATTACAACAAAAAGTTATGGACCTACTCAATAAAGACGAGCAGTCGTGTAATCGATGTTTATACCAAGTTCAAAGCAATGGTTGAAAGACAGTCGTCACAAGATTAAAGTTCAGAGGAAAGATGGAGGTGGAGAGTAAGTGTCGGAAGATTTTGACACACTATATACAAAATAAGGAATTATGCATGAGGTTGTACCACTATACACTCCTCAACAAAATGGTATTGATGAAAGAAAGAACAAAATCATTATGAATATGGTGAGAAGTATGTTAAAAGGCAAGCATCTCCCAAATAAGCTCTTGGGTGAGGCAGTGCCGACTACAATATACATACTAAACAAATGCTCGACAAAGAGGCCTGAAGATATCACACCACAAGAATGTTGGTCTGATGTCAAACCTAATTTTAGCCACTTGAAGGTGTTTATATCCATAGAACACAGGCATGTTCCAGATCAACTAAGAAAAAAGCTAGATGATAAGTCAAGTCAGATGATCCTAGTGGGATATAATTTGAATGGGGCATACAAACTGTTCAACCTAGTGAACAAGCAAGTCATGATCAGCAGTGATGTGATCATAGATGAGCTTAAGGAGTGAGATTGGACTAAGAACATCAAGAAGGATTCAGTGAGAATCCTATGTGATGAACCAACTAGTGAAGTTGTTAGAGAAGTTCAACAAGAAGCTGTCGAAGGTCAAGCTAGTACAACCAGACTTTAGAGAACCAGAAACATGCTTGCAAGGCTGCAGGAATGTGTAATCACATCAAATGATATGTTCGATGGTGAAGGTGAGCTAGTACATTATGTCTTCTATGCAAATACTGAGCCATTTGATACAGTTGAAGCAATGAAAAACTCAAAGTGGATGAAAGTTATGGTGGATGAGATATAATCCATAGAAGATAATGATACATGGTCATTAGTCGAATTGTCAGAGGGGAAGAAGGCAATTGATGTGAAGTGGGTATACAAAACCTAAAAGATGAAGTAATTCGACAAAAGGAAAGACTTATAAGTCTAGCCAATATGCATAAATGGTTGATATGTCAGATGAACGTGAAATGTGCATTTTTGAATAGCCCGAAGAGGTGTATGTGATACAACCAGTTGGGTTTGTGAAACAGTACCAAGAAAGGAAAGTATACAGACTGCATAAAGTCCTGTATGGGTTGAAACAAGCTCCAAGAGCTTTCAACAAGAAAATATACAGATTTCTAAGGGAAAGAGTTTGAGAAGTGCACAACTGAGCATGGTGTGTATGTTAGGAGAAGTAGGAATGAGTTATTTATACTATGCCTCTATGTCGACAACCTGTTAATAACAGAAAGTTGCAAGAAGGAGATTGAAGGTTTCAAATATGACTTAAGTAAGGAGTTTAAAATGTCAGACTTGAGAAATCTCTCATACTTCCTTGGTATCGAATTCTACAAGAGTAGTAGAGGTTTGACGATACACTAAAGAAGATATGCATGTGAAATATTCAAGATATTTGAAATGCAAGATTGCAACTCACCTTCGACTCCAATTGAGTCCAGATTGCAACTGATAAAAGATTTGTCTAAAGATGATGTCGGCCCAACATAGTACAGAAGACTCATTGGATCACTCAGATTCCTTTGTCACAAAAAGCCATATTTAGCTTATTGTGTACCCATGGTTAGCTGATTCATGCAAAAGCCAGAGGTATCACATCTTGCAGCCGCCAAGAGGATACTAAGGTTTTTGAAAGGAAAACTCGACTATGGTATTTTATTTCCTTCAGTCGGTGAAGAAAAATAACGTGAACTTGTGGGCTACACTGACTCTAGTTGGTGATAGAAAATCAACAGTATGATATGTGTTTATGTTAGGTGGTGCACCAGTCGCATAGAGTTCGAGAAAGGGACCGGTATTAGATTTTCATCATGTAAGGCAGAATACATAGCAGTTTCACGATGTGTATGCCAAGCAATTATAGGTAACAATCATGGAGCAATAACCATGAAGATCGACAGCATGTCGGATATCAACATGACAAAGGATCTGATAGCACACGAAAGAAGCAAACACATCGAAATGAGATTCCATTACTTGAGAGAGCGGGTAGAAAATGAAAAGTTGAGTCTGCAACATTACAAATCAGAGAATCAGATTGCATATATAATGATGAAGGTTATGCGGTCAAATTGTTCAAGAGATTAAGAACAATGATTAATGTTGATAATTTAAACATAATGAATTAAGTGGTGTCTTAAATATGTAATTCTTTGTGTCGAAGTCGAAATAGTGTGTTTGCATTTGATGGGTGTTGAAAGGTGTTTTAATGTGTGTCAAAATAGCATGTGTCGAACAAAATCTGTAATAACTGAATTTGACAGAAAGTCAAATATAACTTGCCGAAGCATGTAGTTGTTGAAGGAGTTGACATAGTTGAAATAGATTAACTTAGCCTAGTTTTAGTTGAATTTGTTATTTTATGATATTTTGAGTACAAGTAATCTCATCCATAAATAAAGAAGAGTTTTATTCCATTAGTAGTCAAGATTCTATTTCATTAGTAGTCAAGATTCAGTTTTGTAATAACATTGTGTAGTTCCATAAATCACAATTGTGATTAACACACATTGTAGCAAACATCTTGAGTGTAGCTTGTACAATAATACATTCATTTTCGTCTTTCATAATTTCTCTCTTCCCCCACTTTCAATTGTCTTGTCTTCTTCTTTTAATTTTCTATGTAATTTAGAATCATCTTACAATTAAGGAGTGATTGTTTTACCAAAGTAAAAATGCAATTTAGAAACTTCATAAAATTAATTTTTAAAGAGTTGATAGTTGATGGTCAGTCGGATTTTTTCCCCAATACCAAACATTATAATTGGGACATATACCAAAACATTAGTCCCTAACCCATTACAATAACCCACTACATTCATAACCTCAAATTAATGCATAGACATAATTATCAACCATTGATCATAACTATTTCAAAATAAATCAAATGTTAGCAAACTTCCATCAATGGTTTTACCTACTGTCAGACAAAATGGAGCTATGAGAAACTTCTAAAGGTGTGCTCATTGTTCTTTTCCTAACTTGACAAACCAAACCAACATGTTCTCCTTTTAGACAAGGGCTATGGCCGTATCACAGTTTGAGTGGAACATGTTCCAATTTTGTTAACTTTTCCGTCATTGCCAAAATTTGAGCTTTATATATATATATATATATATATATATATATATATATATATATATATATATATATATATATATATATATATATATATATATATATATATATATATATATATATATATATATATATATATATATATATATATATATATATATATATATATATATATATATATATATATATATATATATATATATATATATATATATATATATATATATATATATATATATATATATATACAGTTGTCATATATGAGATTTTATCAAAAGTGGTTAGGGGATTTTGTTGATAAAGAAAACATGATTTGTGTAGCTTAGATTTCATTAAAAATGGTTAATTTGTCAATGCAAAAGTTCGAAATTTGTAGATAAAAAGTTATGATTAACATAAAAAATGTGAAATTGCATTAAAAATGGTTAATCAAATTTTTTTTTTCATGGTAAATTTCTAACTTTCTAGATAAAAAAATATAAGTGAGAGTTGAGCTGAGATTTCATTAAACGTAGTTAATTAGAATCATCGTTAAATTTTGATCTTCGTAAATAAACAAATAAAATATGGTTGGTAGATGAGAGATGAGATTTCATTAAAAATGGTCACTCGTCATCGGCTAGTAATCAATTAGTCGATAAAGATTCGCACCAGTAATATATTTACCCAAAAAAAGTGAAACACTGGACTAACCAATTAGATTGCAAATCAGACTGCAATTGCCACAAAACTTCAACCAACTACTTGACATGTTAAGCATCAAGAATCAATATAAATACAAGACTTCACCTAAATGAAAAACCAATAACCATTATAGCCATGATTATGTCCTCACTTTTCAACAAAACCTCTTACATTATCAAAACAACAAAGAATCTATTTCATTTCTTCATAGCTTCTTCTTCCATTCCTCTATAAACAAATCACAATTTTTCTTATCTTACCATAAACAATGTCTGCAAACTCAAAGAATATGTCACTTTTTCTTCTTTTTATAAACTTTCTTTTCTTTTCATGTTGTAACTCTCTTCTTGATGAACAAGGCCAAGCTCTTCTAGCATGGAAGAAGAGATTAAACACGAATTCAGACGCATTACCGTCGTGGAATATTTCAAACGGAACACCGTGCAACTGGTTCGGTGTGACGTGCAACTTGCAAGGAGAGGTAGAGGAGATAAACTTGAAGTCATTGGACTTGGAAGGCTCGACATTGCCTTCGAATTTTCAACCTCTCAAGTCCTTGAAGGTTCTTGTCCTCTCGTCGATGAACATCACGGGAAGGATTCCGAAAGAATTTGGAGACTATCAAGAGCTTGTTTTCATTGATCTTAGTGAAAATTCTCTCTTTGGTGAAATCCCAGAAGAAATTTGCAGGCTAAGCAAGCTTCAAAGCTTAGCTCTTCATACAAACAATCTCGAAGAAAATATTCCATTCAACATAGGAAATTTATCGAGTCTTGTGAACTTGACACTCTTTGATAATAAACTCAGCGGCGAAATTCCAAAGAGTATTGGCTTATTACGTAAGCTTCAAGTACTCAGAGCTGGAGGGAACAAAAACCTTAATGGTGAGCTGCCATCGGAGATTGGAAACTGCACCGACTTGGTCATGTTAGGCCTCGCGGAAACCAGCATTTCCGGGGGTATTCCTTCATCAATAGGAATGCTGAAGAAACTACAGACCATGGCCATTTACACAACTAAGTTATCAGGCTCTATTCCAGAAGAGATAGGAAATTGCAGTGAGTTGCAGAACCTGTATTTGTACGAAAACTCAATTTCCGGTTCAATTCCACGCCAAATCGGAGAGCTCGGAAAGCTTCAGAGTCTACTTTTATGGCAAAACAATTTGGTAGGGACAATTCCAGAAGAGCTTGGAAGATGCAAAGATCTCAGTGTTATAGATTTGTCAGAAAATCTTCTCACAGGTAGCATTCCGATCAGTTTCGGAAAGCTATCGAATCTTCAAGCACTTCAGCTGAGTGTTAATCGGTTGTCAGGTATCATACCACCCGAGATTTCAAACTGCGCGTCTCTGACTCAGTTTGAAGTTGACAACAATGCTATTTCTGGTGAGATTCCTTCTGTTATTGGAAATTTGAGAAGCTTGACACTTTTCTTTGCATGGAAGAATAAGCTAACAGGAAAAATTCCGAACAGTCTTTCGGAGTGTGAATATCTTCAGGCACTTGATCTGTCATATAACAACTTAACTGGTACAATACCAAAACAGCTTTTTATGTTGAAAAATCTCACTCAACTTATGCTTCTTTCCAATGATTTGGAAGGATTCATACCACCTGATATAGGTAACTGCACGAGTCTTCGCAGGTTGAGGCTAAATCGGAATAGACTTGTCGGTATTATTCCATCTGAGATTGCGAATTTGAAGAGTTTGAATTTTTTGGACTTGAACAACAATGATCTTGTAGGGGAGATTCCTTCAACAATATCAAGATGTCAGAATCTTGAGTTTATCGATCTCTCACACAACAAACTCTCGGGGAATTTAGATGCTCTTTCTAACCTTATGAATCTTGGTTCTTTAAATGTTTCCTTCAACGAATTCTCGGGTGAATTGCCTAACACGCCGTTCTTCAGAAAACTCCCTCTCAGCGATCTCACTGGAAATAGCATATCAAATGCCAAAGATGATACCAGATTAGCTATGAAGATTATATTCTTCATTTTGTTAAGCACAAGTGCAGTACTTACACTTTTCCTAATCCACGTCGCGGTTCGTGCTTGTATTGCTAACAAAGTAAATAACAGTTGGATGATGACTTTGTACGACGACCTTTATTTCTCTGCCGACGACATTGTCAAGAATTTAAAACCATCCAATGTGATTGACACCGGAACCTCTGGAGTTTCGTACAATGTGAAAACTCCAGAAGGCCAAGGCCAAATTTTAGCAGTTAAAAAGAAGTTGCCATCAACAGATTTTGGAGCAATTAAGTCGGAAATTCAAATGCTAGATTCAATCAAACACAAGAATATCGCCGAGCTTCTTGGTTGGGGATTCGATAATAAGAATACGATGCTGCAGTTTTACGAATACCTCCCTAGTCTAAGCTCAGTGCTTCATGGTTCAGAAAAGGGAAAGTTAGAGTGGGATACCAGATATGAAATCATCTTAGGTTTAGCCCAAGCACTTGCATTTTTGCACCATGACTGTGTGCCTTCTATGTTACATGCAGATGTCAAAGCAGCAAATGTATTATTAGGTCCTGGTTATCATCCTTACCTTACTTGCATTGGCCTCGCAAAAATCACAAGTGAAAAAGTCGATGATGCTAAATCCAATAAAGTTCAAAAACCTACCTACTCTGGAAGTTCGTACGGATACTTAGATCCTGGTAATTAATCTTTCTATTTATCTATCTATCTATTTTTGTTTGAGTGGTGCTTATTTTATTGTTTTGGAATGTGTGCAGGGCTCAACTCAATGCAGAAGATCAACGAGAAAACTGAGGTGTACAGTTTCGGCGTGGTGATACTCGAGGTACTGACAGGAAGGCATCCATTAGATCCAACTCTACCAGAAGGCATACACTTGGTTCAATGGGTTAAGAATCACTTGGCTAGCAAAAAAGACCCATTTGAAATTCTTGACTCGAAGCTGAGAGGAAGGACTGAACCTACTACTATGCATGAAATACTTCAAACTCTAGCTGTGTCGATTTTATGTGTCAATGCAAAAGCTTATGAACGTCCAACAATGAAGGATACTCTTGCAATGCTCAACCAATTTCGATATTTTGTTTAAAATGTATTGTAGGCCAGTTAGAGCAGGCCATAGTTATTCAAATGTAATCTTAGGTATTAAATGCAACTGCCAAAAATCCATAATAAAATGCATTGTAGAACCTTTCACTCAAGTTATCTGGTTAAAATATATCCAAAATAGAAATTCTAGAGACTTTCTATGGTGTTCAAATCTCGTTATATAGTAAAAATCCATATGTTGAATTAGTGCATACAGGATTTTGCTCTTGCTATAAATGGATCTCCCCACCAGCAAGTGGACGGTGAGATTAGTCCCCTTGAGTGTCCATGAAATAAGAGAACAGCCTCAGGGATTGTTGAAGGTGAAACAAGAAGAATCTACTAGGGATATGACATTTAAAATTTGGGAATACATCAGACTAAGATTCCTGAATTGAAGCCCCTTTCTCTCTCTTTTTCTCTCATACACAGCCTATGAATTCAAACAATGGCCATATGGTCCCATCCCACGTTTGATATCTCACTTTATCACTTTCACATACCTTTCACATACCACATCTGAAGGAGACTTATCAGAGATTGGAAAATCCTTGAGAAGCACAAATACTCAGTTGGGATTGAAAGTTAGCATAACCAATTATCCACATGCAGGACCACTAATATAGTGGAATGAAGATAAACATGTATAAGGATGCATATATAGTGGAATGAAGATAAACATGTATAAGGAATGTATGGTCATGCAGCATATGCAAATGCAAAAATGGTCAAGGAATTTTGCATTAAATACAACGTTCACAATTTTTCTGCCATGAGAAGAAAAACTAGTATTACATAGCTCTGATTAGCTTTGTTGGATCAAAATTGCAATGAAAAACCAGTTTCAAATCAACCCAAAAGCTCTAATTAATTGCTTCATTATTTGACACCGGTTTCTACAGTTAATCCAAACACACTAAGTTCAATGTATGATTCGCTAAGGAGAAATGAGATTTCATTAAAAGTGGTTAGTCAAATTTTGCTGTCAGCACCAAAGTTCAAGCTTTGTAGATGAAATAAATATGATTAGGTAGAGTTTAGATGAAATAAATATGATTAGGTAGAGGAGAAATGAGATTTCAAACAAGGCGATATGATTGTTTGGTTTTTGTTAAACCATTCTTATAAATATGATTAGGTAGAGGAGAAATGAGATTTCAAACAAGGCGATATGATTGTTTGGTTTTTGTTAAACCATTCTTATAAATATGATTAGGTAGAGTTTAGATGAAATAAATATGATTAGGAAGAGGAGAAATGAGATTTCAAACACAGATATCATTGTTTGGTTTTTGTTAAACCATTATTATTAATATTTGTTTGAATTGATGAACAATAATAGAATAGAGAGGTATGAAATGAAATAGAATAAAATGTCATTATTTGGATTAATTAAAATCGGCTGGTGCAAGATAGATTAGATAAAATCTGAGTGATTTCTATTCTATTACTTACCACCATAAGATAACTTTTCTTAGTTCAGTCCTAAAAAAACCAAACAATAAAATAAAATCTCTTGGCATAAATTTGCTAAGCTAAGGATCTCTTCCATTTCGCTTCATTTAAAACCATATCCTTAAGAGAAATGGCTTTGCACCATCTTTAATATATCCTAACTCGGACTTAGAGTCCTTGACACCTAAATGGCTCTATATTATATCACTATTAAGTGCCTAAAAAATCTTGAGCCAAATCCCTTATTAGGGTGCCTAAACCAAACTCAAGACTAGTTAATTAAGATATGGTTCATGATTTTAAAGCTCCAAAAATTAGCTTCTACCAAAATCACGTTCTACATTAGATTATGTATGTTTCATTGCAGAACACTAACTTAATCATCACTTTGTAGTCAACAGAAACATAAACAACAAACACTTATTTCCAATCTATTTTCATCATGTGACAAGGGTATCTAAAAAAAGACAACCAATTAGTAATCAAAAACACTTTTTTTGGGCATTTGAAATATGATAAAGACCATACACTAACATGAAAATAGCCAAACAAACAAAATACTACCAATGAGAAATTGAAAACATGTATTCCATTCACTAAAAAACAAGATTTAACAGCCACAAAATACTCAATTGTTTCACTCAGATCCACTAACAAAAATGAAAACTAGTTATAACAATAACAACAAAAACACAAAACCCTAATCAATGGATTGCATGATATCTTCAGGAGCAAACTTAGTACCCTTTTCCTTATCAGCAGCGGCACGCCCCTTCGCCTTCCTATCAATCAACGACTTCCTATCCTTATCCAAACGGAGTTTCGTGATAACCACCTTCGAAGGATCCAACCCAACGTTAACCGTTGAACCGTTAACTTTCTCACGAGTTATGCGCTCGATGTGAATCACCCACTTCTTGCGATAAACCTGAACAATCTTTCCTTCACGGCCTTTGAAAGTTCCTCTAACTACCTGAACCTCGTCGTCCTTGCGAACTGGTAAGGAACGGACGTTGTATTTGGATCGAAGGTCGCCGGAGAGGGGAGCGCTCATGAGCACGCGGCGGACGCTTGACGGTGCTGTGAAATGAGCTTTGCGGCTCTTGCGGCGGCTGCTGGAAACCCTTGGATTGAACTTCATCTTCTCCTCTGTCTCTCACTCTCTCACTCTCTCCAAATAAAGATTAGGTTTAGGGTTTCAGATTCAGTTTTCTCACCCTTGTTTTTGTGATGGTAGTTTGATTGGTTCTGGGCCATTGGGCCTTATTGGAACATTATAGAGCAATCAATCTGGCACCCTGATCCCATACTCCACACCCTAGCAAAAAAATTAATAAATAAGTAAAAATTGTTTACAAAATATACAAATACACCGAAATATGATTAGTATTTATAAAATAAAATGTACTTTTGTTTAATTTTTTCGTAAATTTATACAAAAGAAAATGACATCAATACATTTTTTCGTAAACTTGCAGTAGAATTGTGAAACACACAAAATACTGAGCCAAATTAATAAGATTTTATGATTCAACCACTAGATTTTATTGACTAGGATAAGACATTAGTCTGGAAACTTCACAAATTTGTTCATGAATTTAAGAAAATCCCAAAAACATGGTATGAGAAATTGTCTCAAGCTCTATTGCAGTTTAGTTTCCCCCATTCAAAGTGTGATCATTTTTTATTTACAAATGCTAAACAAGATGTGACTCTTTATGTCTTGGTTTATGTTAATGATTACTTATTTCTGGCTCTTTTTTATAAGTAGTTCATAGCTTGATCAACAAACTTTACAAAACTTTCTCCCAAAAACAAATTGGCAAACCTGAACATTGTTAGGCATAAAAATCGGGTTTCAACTCATTCAGTCTAAGTAAATCAAAGATTTACTGGCTAAAGCAGCAATGAGTGGTGCCAATGGTTCCAACACCTATGTTAGGCACTTGGAAGCTCAAGCATGACTCTCAATTATTCTCATACCTCTAAGCTAAAATCAATAGTTAAAGCTCTCCAATGTGTCACATTAATAAGATATAAAGCTTGTCAATTCATGTTTTTTCCACCTAATCCTTATAGGTCTACAATTAGGAGAATATTGAGTTATTTAAGTTAAATTATTTCTCACGGTCTCGTTCTATCTTCATCACACACTGCTCACAGATTTTCATTACGCGCATATAATGATTTTGATTAGGATAGCGTGTAACAGCCCAATTTTTAATAAGTAATTATTTATATTAATTAATTGATTTATGTGATTTATTTAGTTTATATTAATTGATTGATTTATTGGAATTATTTTAATTATTTGAATTATTGAATAATCACTTATTTTATTAGTGAGATGATTGATTTCTAGAATTAATGAGTTAGGGTAGTGTGTGAATAGTAAGTGGATTAGGTTAGACCCAATAACTTAAGGATTAGGGTTTTAGAGAATAGAAAGGGAGAAGTTAGTAAAGAGAAGGAAAAAGGGGGAAAGAGAAAAAAGAGCATAGAAGAGAAGGAGAGAAGAAGAGAAAGAGGCAAGAGGAAAACATATAAGAGAAGAATAGAAGAAGAGAAAGAGCAAGAGGAAAAGAAGAGTGGAAGAGAGAAATTCAAAGTCAAACATTCAAGGAATCAAGGATTCTTCCCAACGAAAAACCTAAGGTAAGGGTGGGCATTCTCTCATTATTGGGATTTTGGGATAATGATTAATGGGTAGAAGTTATGTAGGGAAACCCTAGATTTGAAATTGTGGATTAATGGTGAATGAGTAGAAGTTTATGTAGGAAGAAAACCCATAGAATTCTCATGATTTAGTGGATTTTCGAATTTGGTGAATACCCTAACATGTGGGGATTGATTGTGGTAGCAAAGAGGGAAGGGTTGGTGAAAAATACCATTTTCTACATAATTTTTCGAAAACACACAGTAAGCAATCGATTGCACTAGTATAGCAATCGGTTGTACAGCAAAACAGAGGCTAAAATGTGAAAAATTGGGTCAAGCAATCGATTGCACTAATACAACAATCGATTGCATGCTGTATAAAAGCTGAAAAGTGAAAATTTCTGTTCCGACGATTTTGGCCATAACTTTTAATCTGTAAGTCGGTTTTAGTCTCCGTTTGAGGCGTTGGAAAGCTAATGAATAGATCTATAACATAGTATAGATAATATAATTATTTGCCAAATATTTTATATTCGATATGTTTGGGAAGTCATTGTTTAATTAAATCTTAACTAAAATATGGTTTAATTGAGATGATTTATTGATTGATTGTAAACCTTCGGTTGGTTATTGAGATATCAATTATTGTTTAACAAGTTGATTGTGTATTGAATATTGAATTCAATTATTTGTGATGGAATGATTGTCCTATGTGTGACCGTTGAGTTGTATTGTGAATTGTGATTGAATCTATTTGATTCTTGTGTACTACTTGATAAATGTAACGATGATGTCTGAAAGTATGAATACTTGGATTATTATGAAATATGTTATGTGTGAAATTATGTTATAACTCTTGTGTGATGAATTATTTGAGAACGCATGGGATTAAGATGCGAGAACGGTCTTAAGTGCATTTGATTGTTGATTGCATATACATCATTTGTTGTCAAGAGGCAATGCTTGTTAGTTTCGTGGAGACTAGTGACTTGTCCCAAACCTAGAGCGGGGTTTGAAAGCTTAGGGAATGGGCTTTTGTTTGTTATTGGTCTAGGGAACGGACCCGGTTTAAATGTAAAAACCAAAAAATAATAACAAGTGTTGGTACCACATGGCATGAGTTGCATTGAGTCACATGGCATATATGATTGTTATATGAAAGTATGCATATGTGTATGACTTGTTGAATTGAGAGTTGTGAATATATGATTGTTATATGAAAGTATGCATATGTGTATGACTTGTTGAATTGAGAGTTGTGAATATATGATTGTTATATGAAAGTATGCCTATGTGTATGACTTGTTGAATTGGGAGTTGTGAATGTATGAATGTTATATGAAAGTATGTATATGTGTATGACTTAATGAATTGAGATTTGTGAATGTATGGTTGTTGAATGATATTGACTGATAAAAATTGAAGTGTGAGAATATTGGTGTTTGTCCTGACATGCTTTACATTATTCATTATCTTATGATTTCATATTGATGTGAATTCTCACCCTTCTGCTGGAATGATGTCATATCTGACATCATGCAGGTATCAAGAGTAGAGTTGCGTGGTCGCTGTTGGTGTAGCTATTTAGTATTTTAGTTATGTTGGGTCAAGTCATGCTCTGGTCATGTAACATTGGGATCGCTTGGTTTATGTCTTAGAGATACATTATGTACTCTACGTTATGTTTTTATATTAATTGGAATATCATGATGTTGGTCTTAGAGCCTAAGTAATGTTGAATTATGTGATGAACATGAATGTTTCTGTTAAGAGAATTATGATATAAAATGAATCCGCTGCTACATGCGAAGTAAAAATTTGAAAAGCATGATTATTTATTAAAGTATTAATGAGCATGACAGATGTTTTTGATATTTTGGAAATTATGTGTGACACCCTTTTGTGAGTGCATGACGATTTACTCTGATTATTTATATATATTTCGTGGGATTTAGAAGGGTGTTACATAGTGAACTAAATGATCGAATATTACCACTGGATTCCTGTATCTATTTTGGCCCAAATATTTTCACTTGAAATTCAAAGAAACAACATGTTGTCAGTTCTAACACAAAAGTTAGGTATCGTGCTTTTGCACACGCCGTCTCATAATTGGTATGATTTGAATTACTCTTATTTGAACTTATCATCTCATTTTGTCTCCTACACATTTATGCAACACCTTAAGTGTTGACAACTTGTCTCATAACCTTCTTCTTCATGCTCGTATAAAAAATGTTGAGCTTGAAATCCATTTTGTTAAAGAAGTCGCATATACATGTACCTACTAACTCTTAAATTACTGACATGTTGACTAAACCTCTTATAGCACCCACGATAGCGGGTTCCACTACAAAAGTGCACTGCATTTATTCGTATGCTGGCATACAGAGCATTTATCGATAGTATAGATGACTATTTGAAAATTGGTGAAATCACAACACTAAAATGTGTTGATAAGTTTACAAGAGGTGCTATTAGTGTATTTGGGCCACAATATTTGTGAAAGCCAAATGTTGAAGACATCGAGCACCTGCTGTAAATAGGAGAGGCACGTGGCTTCCCATGTATGTTAGGGAGCATTGATTGTATGCATTGGGAACAGAAAAATTGTCTCACTACTTTGAAAGAGCAGTATGTTCGAGGTAATCATGGTAAGCCTACTGTTATGCTTGAAGCACTCGCTTCACAAGACTTATGGATCTGACATGCATTCTTTAGGGTAACTGGTTCAAATAACGATATCAATATATTGAATCAATCTAATGTCTTCAACGATATTATGCAAATGCGAGCTCGTGAGGTCCATTATTCAATTAACTAAATAATCTTCAGACAAATATAATTATATATATAAATCAAATGATCGTTAAAAAAATCTCATAAATGAGAGGTACAAAGGATTAAGTAAAAGACACTGGAGATACTAAAAGCTTGTTTCAATGAGTTTTTATTTTTTAAAACATATTTCATAAAATTGTTTTAGAAGAGTGTTTTTAAGAAGAGAACAAATAAAAAAGTTGTATGGTAATATAGTTTTTCAAAATTGTTTTAGAAATGATAAAAATAAAAAATTCATATGATAAAATAATTTTTAAAAACAATTTTAGAGATGAGAAAATAAAAAATATATTTGATAGTTTGATTTAAAAAAATAGTTTTATAACAAATATACATTGAAATTTTTTTTATAATAAATTAATAATTAAATTTTAATTTATCAATCTATGTTGACTACCTTACACCATTAAGTTATTTTATCTCTGACATTCTTAAACTAAACTATTGTAATTTTTTGGTTTGAAATTTTTATATTAATAATTTAATTCACCTGCAAGGAAAAAAAACGTTTACAAGCTAAAGCATGTTTACGAACCAAATTATGTTATTTTTCTCAATTATCCAACAAATTCTGACACAATTGTTTTAAATATTATAATATTACGTAGAAACGGTCTCACCAGACCGATATTTATGCTCTTACTGCATAAAACATTTTGATCAAATCAAAATACATGCTAGTGTTATATTATAAAACTATTTCTTCATATATTTATTTGATGTAATTTAGTTGGATGTATATATAAAATATTTTTAAATTATATATATATATATATATATATATATATATATATATATATATATATATATATATATATATATAATTAGTTTAAGAAAAAAATAGAACTTAATGCATGATAAAATTAAAATGATTTGCCATTATATTTATTAATAATGATTTTATGCTAAAAATTAGCAATCATAATTGTGTTAAAAAGAACATTTTCTGAAAAAAATATTGCACAATATTGATATCCTTTTGACTTTTTTTTTTTTAAATAATCACTATTTTATAAAAATTTCTCAATTTATCATCTTTTCAAAATATATATCAAATTAAATATTTTTCAAACTAAAAATATTTATTTTCAAGAGGATGTGTCACTGCCTGTGACTCATGCATATTTTTTTGCCTTAGGCGTCAATGTCTCTGATGTATGCTCCTCTGTAGTGTCAATGACACTGATGCATGTCTTTAAGAGTCTGTTTGATTCAAATGAGGGGGAGGAGAGGGGAGAGATTTTAATGAAGGGGAGGGGAGGGGAGGGGAGGTGAAGGAATTTTTTAATCAAATAAGTGTTTGGTTCAAAAGAGAGGAGGGGAGGGGAGGGGAGAGATTTTAATTAAAAATGTGTTTGGTTCAGAAGGGGGAGAGGAGAGGTTTTATTAATAATTTACATTTTTAGCCTTATAATCTTATATAAGTCATATGATATTAAAATGTGAAAAATTCGTGCGTATTTTTTTTGGTAATAAAATTTCTAATATTGAGTGATTAAAAAAATATTTATTTGTCACATAAAGTTAAAAAATTGAGTACAATCGATTCGACTTATAACTTTCCAACATAAATTAAACTATATGCCACTAACATCGTTTAAATTTTGATGAATCATATAACAAAACAAATATATAAAATAACTTATTACTAAATATTAATGGTTTAAAATATTTAATAAAATAAATAAACAAAAATAAATAAAATAATATGGTTTACAATTTGATATAAAAGAAAATATGATAGAGTAATAACAAAATTAAAAGAAAAAAACGAATATAACGAAACATAATTTTTTTTATAAAAAAAGACAATGATTTTATGATTTATATTAATTATAAAAATTATAAAATAATTTGAAGGTGGAGAATAATTATAATAAGTTGATGAAAACAATCGAGAAAAAACAGTAACACAAAAGATAACAAATAGTTTTGAAATAATAAAATTAAACTAAGGATATTTTAGTAAATATAATAATTTTTAAATATCAAAACTTATATTCCCTCCCCTCCCCTCCAAATCCCCCCAATTCGGAGGGAACCAAAAAGCCTGTTTTGGAGGGATTTTGCTCCCCTCCCCTCCCCTCCTAAAATTTGAACCAAACATATTTAATTAAAATTTTCCCCTCCCCTCCCCTCCATCTACCTCGAACCAAACACACCCTAAGTTTTCGAAGCATGCATCATTGTCTGTGTCTCCTATGTTGTTTTGAGTTTTTTTAATTATTTAAATAAAAAACAATAATAAAATATTTAATAAAAAATAAATTATAATATAATTTTATCAAATAGAATTACACAATGATTATATAAAATTTTAATGACTCGTTCGATCGAAATGTCCAACGGTTCCACACCTTGGCGCATTCGTTGGCCTTTAAGCCATCCACGATTTCCCTGAGGTGTTTTAGCTCTCCTAGTATTTTGTTGAGTTAGAGGTGGTTGGTGTGAGGTTCATGGGATACTAATATTATCTAACAAATTTTCGTTCATATCTCCTTGGTAGTTGGCGTTGTCGTAATCGAGTTTGGTGTCCATGTTATCATAGTTGAGTCGTGTTGGTTGGGTTACATGTGGGTGGGCTGTTTGGTTGAATTGGTACATTGAATCATTTTGAAAACGAAGCAATAGTTCTTGTTGTGTTTGAAAGGCATGTGTTGGTTGGGTGATTTAGTGATGTGATGTTTGAGTGCCTTGGTATGTGATGTTTGGGAGTATATTGGTCTGGCATTATGGTAAGATGGGTGGAATCATATGCCTCATCAGGGCTATAGTAAGATGTGGAGGTCGCGCTATTGGTTTTGTGTTTGAATGTGTGACATGAGTTGACTGTGGGGTTGGATGTATGTGGTTTCCTAACCATGTTCGGTTGGTTGTTGGGTGTATCTGGTATTGTAAAATGATTAAACAACATATCTATATGATTACAACCATCATAACAGTTTCATCTGTATTATGCGTCATAATACGACAATCACTATCAGTTTTAACTGACTCCCAGATACGACGTTCTCCATTATTGTTGAACATTGTAACAAGTCGTTCAATTCTTTTGATCTTTTCACTGTCTCAAATGTCTTCATTTAACCAACGGATCAAACTCCTTTAAAGATGCTCGAAAGTCTCCGTGTTCCAAAGTCGGATCTTCAACAGAGACTTTATTGCCGAATAAATCAAATTAGCATTCTTTTGATGATATAAGATATTTTGAAGAAAAATTGAAGGAGAAAATTAAAAGATGGGTGAGAAATATGGGGAGGGAATGACCTATTTATAAATAAAAAAATTAAAACAACATAGGAGTCATAGGTAATGGCACATGCTCCTAAAACTTGCATATATATGTCGTTGCCATTGGTATTACAGAGGAGCATGTGCCACACGCATTGGCACCTAAGGCAAAAAAAAGTAGTGCATGCATCATAGACGTATTCTCTAAAAAATAAAAATAAAAATAATTTAAAAAGTGGTTAAATATATATTTTAAAAATATAGTTATTTAAAAAATTCTTTTAAGGACGGTGGTTATTTAAAAAATATCTCCTTTTAAGGATATAAATAAGAAATTAAAAAATTACCAAAGTGTCATTAATAAAAAGTTTCGGTGTGTTTTCATTTTTTGGATTTTCTTAAACTAAAAACTGAAAATGACTTTATAATTTTTAAAACTAAAAACAAAACTACTATTTTAAAAATAATTTATCAAACAAGTTTATTAGTTTTTAACTTTTAAATTAAAACACAGTTTTTGAGAAGTGATTCAAACATACCCTAAATTGTAAAAAATAAAAAAATAAAAATACAAAACCTAAGTTAAGGAGCTGGGGAGTAAGCAAATTAACTATGAGAATAACAATAAAACATTTTTCATCGAAGAATTGCATCACCTTCTTCTACTCTTTCTCTCCAACTTTATTCTTTCTCTTTGTACTATTTTTTTTATTACATTTGTTTTGGTTGAAGGAAAGAAAAAGAACCAACATCCCAAACTCACACATTATTTTATTTAATAGTAGTAGTGCTCCATCATTAAAAACACTCACTTCACATGTCTCCAACTTTTCAAAAAAACCATACTTTAAGAGTTATATGAACAGGACATGTGCAATCAAACCTAGTCCTGCAAATCTCAATCAAATCAAAAGATGCCATGATGTCATTGATGACATTCATTCAGCTCTAGAAATTGTAAATGCTAATATAATAATGCCTTTGATTGGATAAACAAACATGTTAACAATTTTTATACATCAATTGTTTACAGACATATCAGACACCACCATCCCAAAAATGGCCACACACTTGACTCACAAGTACCATCTCCTCCTAAGTGGTAGTGCTTGCTGCATTATCTCACCCACAACATCTTTGTGAAAAGAAACTTAGCTTCAATATATTCGGATCATGTTTGTGTTCAGATTTATCAGTATGACACTGACATGTCGACACTGCTAATAATTTGAAATATGAACAAATTAAAACATAATCACAAACACCGACACTGACACGGACACACCTTTTTTTAGAAGTATCGGTGCTATAGAGGTTCAGATGCATTATAGCCTTGATCCAAATTGAAGCAATGAAATTCAAGTTCTTTTGTCATAGCATTATGAGACAATGGACAACCCTACCATATTACACACTACAAATCTACAATTCATCAGATATGGACCCTACCAAATGGATTTCCAGATTGGTATGAATTTTGGATGTCTCAATCTATGGAGGATTCTGTTCATGCTTGTCTAGTTTATTTACTATGATGCTAATGACATTCCAGTCAAAACCACGATATTGAAGCCATCGAATAATCCTTGACTTTCTTGTTTCCTTTGGAACATTTTCACCTTTGAACCACTGTTTTGAGGCCTGAACATAAAGATGATCCATGGATTGCTTTGACAATTTAATAATTGAATTTTCTTCTTCAGCACCATCATTCTTGTCCTTAAAAACTACTTCAACTGCCTTTTCAGCATCAGATTGACTAACTCCCTTCTTGAACAGTGCCTGCCACAAGAATTCAAGTCCGTACGCAATAATATTTTCGTTGATAATAATAGCAAGTGTGTTATTATGTATATGGCTCATAAACACATGTGCGGAAATGAAAACAATGTCACTGGCTTTGCAAGATGCTGTCACAATGTACTACATCTTTTACTCATAATCTATGAAGCATTGGCATAGATACGGACACCGGATAAAAGAAACGAACGTAATCACATGTGCCGGTGTTGTGTCAGTGCTATAAAGCTCTTAATACTATATACTACATAAGTTAGAAGGAAGATGTATTCATCAAAGGATAGTGAAATCAAAATATCAACACAATATTCACACTATTGATTTGCTACGAAACTAATAAGAGGATGAACATAAGGACAGAATACAGCGGCTTACTTGTTTGATCCGTCTTGGACCCCAAGTAGACGAAGACCATCTAGATTGAGAAAACGATTCAGCATACAACTTATCATTGATGAACCCTCTGAAACAAACCAAGGGATGAAATGGTCACCACAAATCCGCAGGATGTATTAAAATTCAGATTTTATATACAAACTTGAAAAAGTGCACTGTGAAAAGTACAACACGATGTGATTATTTGTCAAACTGAAGAGAAGGTTTGCCATTTGTATCTGTTATTGCAGACATCTTATTTTCAAGGCCAAGAATCATGTAACGTACATATTCTCACTTAGTTCAACTAAATGGAACACTCAAATAATGATACGTGTGGAAATGGCTGATAAATAACAGCCAGATAAGTTTTATATGAAGTTGGCTACATACTGTCTCTGGAGCTTGTTTATCACTGCCTCCACTGCATTAGGAGAGAATCTCTTGCTAAGCAATTTCTTTCTCAATTCAACTGCCGTGAGTGCCCTGAGAATTAAGGAGACAGGCATGCTTAAAAGAAATAACAAAGAGACAAGTGAATCGACGTAAAGAGACAAGCAAAATTATACATTTAAAAAGAAAAAGTTTGATTTCTATTACACTAAATGAGGAAACATTATGCTTGAGAATCTGGTCAATTTGGTTGACCATGCAGTGTATTAAACTAGTGTGGCATTGAATGCTTCAGAATCTCTTCAATTTAGGGAACTAACCTAGATGCAAGTAATTTGACAGCTGATTGTTCAACATCATTGATAGATTTGTCAAGTCGTATAAAATCTTGTTCACGGGAGTCTTCTATCTGAGGAACTGTCAACTCTCTAACCTCCTCCATTTGTTCGGAACCTATAATGCACAAATTAACATGATCTCAACAACTTTATTTCTTAGATATACAAGTTGTAAGTGCTACAACTATGATTTTAGAGCTTACTTATTGATATTGCACCTGAATATTTTAAAAACCAAACAAACAATTCAACTGGTTGAACCTTGAAGTGGCCTTTATTGTAGTTTCATCTTGGTTCAAGCGAATTAAGCCAATTGAACCATGATTCAGAAGTCTTGCAGGTTTGGTTTTTAAAACATTGGATAAAATAGAATGATGACATATGCCAAGTTTGTATTAACTTTTGAGAGCTTTAAATCAAAATAAGTTTGTATTCTTAAGAAAAAGTACGAATAAACTAAGTGTTTGTGGAAAAGTTAAGTGTATGTTTGGTTTAGTTTTCAGAAGAGTCAAAAGGAATTCTAGAGGTATAGAATTGATTTTGAAGTGTTTGATTCTTCTAAAGTAGAGTTGTTTTTGAATTTAAACGTGATTTTTACATTGAAATTTATTGTTAAACTCAGTTGTGCATAAAGTTATCCAAACATAAATCACTTTATATTCAACACACTTGTAACCAGAATCAATTTTACTTTCATAATCAATCCACTCAAAATTAATTTTTATCACCGGCAGAACCAAACATACGCTAAATATGAGAGCTTATGTAACTAATTTACCTTCTTCAATGTCATGAAATAGTAAGTCAGTGCGAACTTCATCTGAATTTTGAGAAGTTTCACAATGTGCAATTGTTGCATGCCCAATTTTCCCATCATTTATCTTGATTGCACTGCCATCAGCAAAGCTACAATATTCCAAACATGGAATCTTCACCCTGCATGATGTTATAGGAATGTAGCTAGCAGTAACAGAAGAAGAACTAAAGTCTCTACTCTTCAAGCAAGCAATCCGAAACTTCCAAATGTTCCTAATTTCAATAACCCAAAAAGCAAAAGGGATAAGAATCATGGGCGAAACACTTGAATATTTTACAAGAATTTCCATCAACCCATTACAATTCAACCAATTGGGTAACTAAATTAGAACTTCATTTTTCATTTACACTGAAAAAGAATCAAACTTTTCTGTGATTTTGCTTCTCCAACTATGGCTAACAAATGTGTTAACAAAATTATGGAGATAAATGGAATGAAATGATATAAACTAGTTACCGTGGAATTGAAAAAACGCCAGGTAGAAGATGAAACGAGATTTTGAAGCCAATGTTTCCCGCGAAACTTGCCATGTTCATGTAATGGAAATTTATGCCTTGAATGTAGCCAGGGTTTCTTACTCTTTGTTTGTTTTCAATTTGCACCCTCTTGTTTTTTTTCTTCAGTGAAGAAAATCATGGGTTAGCCCATTTAAAGGCCCTATTGAAAAATAAATATCGTTTAACTTAGACACCTCTCACTTGATTTAGCCTGATTGAATTTTCAAAACTTCTAATACAATATCGCTTGAAAATTTTAGAATTTTCAATAGTTATAAAAACTTTGTTTTTTACTAAAAATTCTGAAGTTTTCGGTAATTATAAAAACTTTGTTTTTTATCGAAAATTTTAGAATTTCTGATAGTTATGAATACTTTGTTTTTTACCGAAATTTCAGGTAGTTAATAATTTTTTTTCTTTTCTTTTGCAGTGAAATACAAAGGCATAGACAACACCATTGCAAATAGAGCGACAAATAGAGCAGTAGACCAGGCTAGGGCTGCTGAGCCTGAGTCTTTTCCCAAATACGGGTTGGACGAGTGGTTTCAACTGATTCACACTGAAAATAGTTAGTTGAGCAAGGTCAGTTCTGCGCACCTCGTAGCACTCGATGTCTACCGGTACGATCAATCGAGCATCTCAGAGATGAGGTGTCCAGACAGATACTTTTGTTGCAGATGAGGTGGTTGCTGAGGAAGTGGTTGTTAATGAGGTTATTGTTGATGAGGTGGTCCATTCCCATCTGTTACTGTTCACACAGAGGTTACAACTCCTTCGATCGAGCCCTCTATGCACATTGATGGAGGATTCTCTAGAGGATCAATTGACCGGCTAGTGCTTACTGAGTATGTTGTCCATGTGGCGTTACAACTATGGCAGAAAGAGGTACACTATGCCAAAAAAGACTTTTACCAGCGCTTTTTGTGGCCTTTAGTAGCACTTAAAAGCGCTGTTATAGGTAAAGACAGTGTTTTTTTTAAAGCAAATGCGTTGTTATAGGCCCCCTTTTAGCAGCGCTTTTTTAGAAAAGCGCTCTCTTTTCCCTCCCTTTTAGCAGCGCTTTCAAAAGTGCTCTCTAAAGTAAATTTTCTTAAGACCATCAACAGTGCTTTTTCATGAAAAACACTCTCTAAAGTAAATTTTCTTAAGACCTTTAGCAGCGCTTTTTCATGAAAAACACTCTCTAAAGTAAATTTTCTTAAGACCTTTAGCAGCGCTTTTTCATGAAAAACGCTCTCTTTTCCCCTCTTTTAGCAGCGTTTTTAGAAGCGATTTCTAAAGTATATTTTTTGAAGACCTTTAGCAACGTTTTTTTTGGAAAAACGCTCTCTTTCCTCCCCTCTTTTTAGCAGCGCTTTTTAAAGCGCTCTCTCCCCTCCCCCCCCCCCCTTTTTAACAGCGTTTTTTCAAGAAAAGCGATGCCTTTTCTACACGTCATTGGATTTTTTTTCAAATGCACTTTTTAGGGTGCAATTTTTGGTAAAACCGTTGTCTATTATACATATTTTTATGAAGTGTTTTTTTGTTAAATGATGTTGCACAATTCTTTTGTAATTTATCACATAAACTTGCTTATAACAATTATATTTAACACAAGCTTTTATTTCAACACTTAGGCCTTATATATACCATAACAATTCAACACGTAATCTTCTTATAATTATTGTAATTCAACACAAGCCTTTATTTTAACACATAGGCCTTATATATATATATATATATATATATATATATATATATATATATATATATATATATATATATATATATATATATATATATATATATATATATATATATATATATATATATATATATATATATATATATATATATTATAATTCAACAAAAACGATCCATACTTCTAAAATATATTTCAAAATCGATAACTTCACAATATTCACTATACATATAATTGCAAATTCCATATTTCCGGATCCTCACAACAACTTTTAGAAGTATATCAACAAATTCCAAAACTATATGACTTCCAGAACTATAATTATCCAGTAGTATGTACAGAACATCACAACAACACAAATCTCTAAATTAAGGACATAAACTCTGATCAAAAGACATAAAGACAATATACCTTATACAATTCTCATCTCAAGAATGTATTGACATCATTCCTCCTTAATTTCTTCCAATTTATCTTTCGAGTAAGTGTCACACTTGAATTCATCAAAGTACTACATAATATAACATAATATGCATGATTTAGTTAAAACTAATTACTTAGATGAAATATCGGTTAAATATTAAAATAAATCATATAACTTATGATGAGCTGGTTCGAGAATTACACAAACGAAGATATCTCAAAGTGCCGTATGCCGGAGTAGAAGTGGTCAGTGAAGACAAAGATATCAAGGGAAGGATCAGAGAAGATTTGGCACACAATAGCATTCATATAGGTTATATCTTTTCCTTTTTTCACCTTTTATCAAAACATTGAGGACAATGTTTGGTTTATGCGTGTGTGTGTGTGTGTGTGTGTGTGTGTGGAGGGGGAGACTTTACCGCTTCCTAGTTAGGTTTATCATTCTCTAGTTTATTTTATGCTTTTAGGAATTTTATTTGTTTTTAATGTTTTGTCGAGTCTTTACATGTGATGTCGAGTCTGTATGCATGGTTTTCACTTGTTATTCAATTTTCCCAAAATTTAAAAAATAAAATAAAATTTTATTTAACCTCCAACAATATTTTTTCTTTGATTCATGGCACAACACTCTGAGAGTATAAAAGTATGTTGTTTGATTTATGCTAAGTTTGAGAGACTTGAGAAAGCATTAATAATATCGGTACCGTTTTGACACCCTAAACCCCCTGTAAAATGCTGATGAATTTGAACACTTATTATGCCGAGACCTTAAATTTTAGAGTAGCCTCTTGATTAGTTTATACTACCAGTTAGCACCATCCTGAAGTACAACCTAAGTAATAAACCGATGCAAATACGTGTTTGATCTCAAAAATGCGAATCGAATAAAATTATTAGAAAAATTGAATGAGAAATATGCTCCTACTAAGTTAGATGACTCTTACTCGACCATTTAGCCCAACGGATTGGACTCTTGAAAATTCAAAAATACACAAGAAAAAGAATGTGAAAAAGTTTTGAAAAAGAGATCATTGAACACTAACAGGTTTATTTACCATGGGCGTGTAAGGATAACGGGCTTAATGTGATTGCGCGAGAATGAAAAAGAGATGAAAATGAATAGGTTGAGTTATAATAACATGATTCGAACTTGTCTGCACAGAGAGGGAGTTTTTGATTGCACTCAATAATTTTGTGTCATTATGGTATCCTTAGTGTTTCTATCTAGTACCTATCTCTCGTACAAAAGTCTCGCATCAATGCATAATTTGTGTTATGTCGTGTTGAGATCCATGCCTAATATGTTTTATTTGCTTGAGCACATGCAAAGGTCCAAGTGTGGAGGAGTTTGATAACGCGAAATTATATCGTTTATTTGACTTAACTTACATGGATTTTACCTTCGATTATTATTAGTTTGTCTGATTTTTATCATATTATTTAATCATTTTGTTTGTTTTTGTAGGAATGAGGAAAGAATTGGAAAAGAAAGAAAAGGAAGAAAATGGAAAGAAAAGAATAAGAAAATGGAAGGAAAGAAATAGAAGAAAAAAAAGAGTGGGGGCCACCACACACTAGTGGCACTTGCCACGTAGGTGTGGTGCCTGCCACCCTTATTAAGGAAGAGGGAGTGGCTCCTGCCACACTAAAAGGAAGGGGGAGGAAAGTGTGGCGCATGCCACACTAAAAAATAGGAGAAAGTGGCGAGTGCCACCTCATGCACTATTTCTTATCCTTTCTTTTCTCTACTACTTCCTACATTCTCTACACATCCAGACCTCTTCCTGGAATCTGATTCTCACACAAAAAACCGTCTGTAAGCCACGAAGGCACACAAGAGTATACAGTCAGATCACAGTTTCCAAACAAAGGGGGGGATTTTCTTTTGGCCAAAATTTATTTTTCTTAGTTTTTTTTAGACAATTTCTATTCTACTTGTAAAAGCAATAGTTTTTCACAATGAGAAGGTATTGACCATTAGTTTTAGGATTTGCTGTTTATGCATGGACTTGTACTGAATTCCAAGCCTGTCGGCATTAATCCAAGTTCTTCAAAGTTCTTCTAAATTTCCAGGTTTTTATTATTGTTTACTGTTATGCATTCTGTTTAATTTTTGTTTAGTATTAGGATTGATTCTCTTAATAGCATGCAAGTCATGTCTGGCTAAACTGGTTAATATCGGTATGTAAATAAATCAGTCGGACGGGATTTCATCAATTCATGACATAACTTAAACAAATCTATTTCTTTGGTCCCGATTTCTTATTATTAAACCATCAACTTTTGTTACGAGAGTAAAAAGGAACTAAGGTTAGGATCAAGATAAGCGAGAGTTTGAGATTCTACCCGGATAGCTGAAACCAAACATTAATTCTAAATGCAGCGGAAGCACTTTAGAATTAATTAGGATCTGCTTATTTTCAAAAAGTGTTTTTAAATACAAATGAGAGAGCGAGAACCTGCATTCTGATTTGAGAGTATAGATTGAGTCAATAAACACGGGAATGTGAGATAAGGTCTTTTAAATGAGTATTTCCTACAGACTAATATTTTTCATCTTTTAACAAACGTCCATGAATTATTGAATCCCCGGTGACCGATGAAACTACATACTGATATTCCATCATATCTTGATTTAGATCTAGTTTTAACTTCCATTTAAATTCTCACTTGCACCCCAATTTAGAATTCCATTAGCCTTAGCTTTACATCGCAACAATAGATAATGGTAGGTTGACATTGGTCTTTGTGGGTTCGACAATCTTTTATATTACTTCGATATTTTCGTGCACTTGTCGAGCATCAATCATCAGGAGTAGAAAGTGAGAGAGTATGCAAGACAACTTGAATATCTGTTGGAGCATATGAGGAGGTTGGCGCTGCATTGGCGACATGAGCTTGGTGAGATGGCTTGGGACCAAGAATGTCGGGTTGT